AATTTCTACACCTTTAAACATAAGGGCTGGAGATATGTTCTTTGCAAATACACAGAGGTGGATATTAAGGTTTTCCAGGCAGGTTCTTGAAAACTCAGTGAAGCCATTTTGCTGGCATCATTTCTTGCTGCATTATTACATTTAGTCACTGTAGCTTTAAGGTGCACAGGAAATACAACTCTAATGCTAAACCATCACAAGTGAAACCAGACTGAAACATCATTGATAACCTGAGATAGAGAAGATTGTGCATATGACTAAAACTTCCACTTCACCCTACAATTGGGATCAGCTCCTGAAGACACATAAATAAGCAAGAGCCTTGTACAGCAATGGGCTGTGCCTGCAGTGACTCAGTCCCAAATATCAAATTCACAGGAACGCACACATTGCCTACACATACTGCAGCACTGAACAGAGACAGTTCCATCAATTACTATGTTTACTCATCTATTGAACTAGTTAAGAAATGAATTTAATGTCATATGAAGTTCCAATAATACTAACAAAAGTAATGGAAAACCACAGATCAAATCCTCACTTCTGTTTGCTTTATGGACTCACAACAATTTATTTGATACTAACGGTCCTGTTGCAGTCATCCCTATTTGCCAGATTGAAAGTAAAGCAAGCTGTTCTCTGACTTCTTGCATATTTAATCTAACTTTGTTACATTGCATAGCTGTAGTCTCTTTTTCTATCCACTATTCAGATGGAATGCTTTATTACAAGAAACTTGTAATCCAAAGCAGCGCTATCTCCTTGAATGTTAGTGACCGAAACCCTCCCATACCATCCCCCATTTCCCTTCCTGCCCACCCCAAGTTATTTTTGTCAAAATTGGATGCAAAACATGAAATAGCACTGAAACCAAGAGCAGCTGTGCAAACACCTGCAACAGCTCTCTCAGTATAAAATTTCAGTTTCTTCTGTCTCTCCAAGTGTTTTTAATATTGCGATGTTGGAACAAATGGATGCGGACAACGAAAAGCCCTGCTGTGATATTTGAAATTCTCTCTGTGAAGTTCATTTGATGCTTCAGAATATCCTGTGGTAACACAGAATCTGTACCTTTTTCACCCCATGTCTGTCTCACCCCCAGCTCCCCTCCAGCTGAGCACTTTGGTTGGCATTACTGGCTACACCAGGGTGACACTACCATGACTTTATTCAGACTTCAAGCTCCTGCCACCCACTTTCCTTATTGAGGCTGAAGGTTTTGCTGTAGCAGCTCTGGCTCTCACACAAACCCCTCTACCACATCCAGAAGAAACTGCTACAGCATCCAGCTACAGACACCATGCAAGTGCTGCTCCTCAGTGCATTGTGGTGGGATAAGACACTGAGGGACCTAAATTTAAGTTCTAAACTTAAGGCCCAGATACTCCCCCCACCCCACTGAGATCTAAAGCAAAAAAGGGTCAGTGAGCTGCGCTGCATTTTAATTGCACCAATACAGTTAAATATTAAATGGAGAAAGCAACTCTACATAGCAAATGGAAAACAAGCATTTACATAGTAAAGCTGTAAGATGTAGAGACTATTAAAGTTTTACCCCAGTTGTCTATACATGAATATCCCACTGCAGTTTTTGGTGTTAAAATTTTAAATGTAAAACAAATTTAACATTTTCAGGCTCATACAGAATTAGCAAGTTATTGAGTAACAAAAGTTTCCTCCCTCATAAGCCAATACTGATGGGGGGCAGGGCAGGACACCCTGTGTTTTTTCCTACCATCACTCCATCCACTAGTGTGGGTAGAAGAGAGCAACACTTTTCTGAATATACTTGATTTTACACACACACACCCCCCAAAGGGGCATATGCTGATATCTGCCAGGACAGGGGAGTTAACACTACCAAGTTAGACACTGATCAGCTGGGGAAAGAGTTCACTAGCAAAGCTGTCCTCCCACACGTGGTCAGTGCCAAGTGGAGAGGACATGTCACTGAAGGGCGACAGGGATCCTTCATACCCAGAGTCACTACAGGCATCCAACAAGTAGTTTGAGGCTTCAAGACTATGATGAGAAGAAAGCAGATGAGAAATGCCCAGTTCAGGCATGAAGTTGTCTACAGGTTCCTCCTTCACAGAGACTGGGACCTCAGGGATAGCCTTGTCTTCAGATGAAGAGAGAGATTCTTTCTCAATTTTCACTAGCATATTGGTTTGGTTGCTTGCTTCAACAGGAATCTCCAGTATTAGGGGCTTTGTATACACATGATCGAACCTTATCAGTTCATTAATGGCCTCCAGCTTAGCTGATGGGGACCCCAAAGATGGAGAGAGGGAGGTTGATATGGAATTTGTTTCTCCAGAGATCTCTTCCTCCAGCTTTTCCAGGCACATTGACTCTGAATCGGCACATCTGAGAAACATCTCTGGGTCCAGACTGTCCAGAAAGCCCAACAGGAGATCAGGCTGCAGAATGAAATACTATTTTAGAAAGACAGCCTATTTCTGCTACAGCAAAGCACCAGTTGTGGTATGTATTAACCCCCATGCGGAGTTAAAATACACTAAACACAATCACAGCTGTTTTACCAAGAACACCATCAAACACACAGTTAAGGCACTTAACTTGTCTTTCAGAAATTCACACAATCACAGAATCCATCAGGTTGGAACAGACCACAGTGGGTTATCTGGTCCAACATCCCTGCTCAAGCAGGGTCAGCCTAGAGCACATAGCACAGGATTGCATCCAGCCAGTTCCTGAATATCTCCAGTGAGGGAGACTCCAAAACCTCTCTGGGCAATGTGTTCCACTGTGCAGTCATTCTTTGTCCATTAACTTTTTTGTAAGGGTACTGGCAATCCCCACAGAATTCTACATGCATTTGAGGTTCACAGCCACTACTGGAAACTCTTTGAGATCCTGGACATATCATCAACTGCTACTGCCACAGAACCTGCTGGCTACACAGAGCACGGACCAGAACCCAGCTTAGGCAGACCTGCCTGTGACCAAAGTTCAGAAGGCTGGGTTGGTTTTTTTGAGGGTTTTGTTTAACTCCTGTACTCACTAGATACAGCCTAACACAGCTGTTCTGAGCCACAGATATGGCATTCCAAGACTTGGAAGAACAAAGAAACTATGGAAAAATGATAAAATTATTTAATATCAAGAAATTAAACTACTAGTCTTAAATCCGCAGTGGTTCTGAAGTTCATGGGCAGTTTGCATAGGAATGGATGCTCACCTCAGAGTCTGAATAGTCACTGCCATCAGAATCCACGTGGAAGCCATCAGAAATGGTGACTGCTGGGCCTGCACCTGCTGCAGAGGAACACGTAGTCTGAGTGCTGCGGACTCAGCGGACCCGGTCACCAATCTAATCTCATCCACCTGTGATTCCTTCACAACCTGTGCCAAGGAAAAAATTCAGTCACCACAAGTGTTCTGGCAGGCAGTACAGCACATAATCCTGAAGACTACGTTTTTCCTGCAAAGGCTTCCAACATGAGATTCTCCACTTGCTTATGCCATAGCAACCTGAAGGTAAGACGACTTCCAAAGTTAGCTGAAGCTTCCATACACTTGCAGATTTATTTTGTTTGCCACTTTTAAATGAGAGCCTGACACCCTCCCCCATACACCATTCTTTTGAGACAGACCTACATGACTGTAACAGTTCTTATTTCACTTCTATAACAAAGTGTAGAGAAACAGATGAAATTATCTCAAAACAGCTTGGAACTAGTCACCTTGTTATCTCCCACACTACCCACTTGGCACCTGTTCGGTTTCAGAATTTCCATTTGGAGTACAAGGGTGTTTCTGGCACCTCCCTGTTCACAGCACTGGGGTTACCCCGGGAGCGGGCAGCTCTCGGTGTGCTCTGCTCAGGGCAGGGGCGGACACACCAGCAGCGCGGCGGGCGACTCACCTGCGACTCGCCGCCCTCCTCCTCCTCCGTCTTCAGAGTATCTAAACCCAGGCGGCAGCGGAGCTCCTGGTTCTCCATCACAAGGTTACACGTCCTCTCCCGCAGGAGCTGGTTTTCCAGCAGCAGCTTCTGGTTCTGCAGAGAGCCATGAGGCAGGGAGGCCGCCCGTCACCTTCTCATCCCCTCCTCCTCCAGCCCCTCACCGCCTCCTCCAGCCCCTCACCTCCTCCTCCAGCTCCACCACTTGCTGCTCCAGCTCCGTCATCCGCGCCTTCTTCCTGTCCCGGGCGCTCTGGGCCGCCACGCGGTTCTTCAGCTTCCTGCGGGACAGGGCGGCCGTCAGCGGGGAAGCGGGGAAGCCGCGGGGCCCCCCCGCCGCTGCCCCCACTCACCTGCGCAGCGCCTTCTCCTCCGGGCTCAGGTGCGTGAGCCGCTGCCGCTTGCGGGCCGGCTGCGGGCCCTCCAGCCCCGCGAGGCCGGGGTCGGCTCCTGCCGGCAAGACAACGGAAAGATGCCGGCCGGCCGCGGCGCCAGGAGCCTCGGTCGCTTTACCGGGGATGAGGAGCAGCCGGGGGGCCGCGGCACCGGGCAGCGCTGCCATGGCGGGACACGGCGGGTGCGGAACGGACGCGCTGCCCGGCACCACCGGCACAACCCCCTGCGACGCACCCGGCCCCGCCCGGATTTCTACTATCGTGGCTCTCGCCCATTGGCCGGAACGGCGTGACGCTCCGGCCACACGAGCTCGTGATTGGCCGGCAGCCGAGAGCAAGGGGGGAAGTGAATTGCATCAGACGCGGGGTCTGCGGCCGGGGGGCGCCGGCGCGCGGCGAGGGGCGGGGCCGCGGCGGGCCGTGAGGGGCCGGCCCCGATGGCCGCGGTGGGGAGGGGGCTGCCCGCTGAAGCCGAGCAGTGCGTCGGGGAGGCAGCGAGCAGGGTCTGGCGTGGCTGTGCAGCTAAAGCCCCTTTGTGGTCCCCTTCCCGCGGCCGGTTTGTCACAGGCAGAATCGTGGGGAACGCAAGTGCCAAAAACGGAACTTCAGCAGATGCCATGAGAATGGTCTAAAAATGGGCTAAAAAAAAAAGAAAAAAAGCAGAGAGGTTAGTGATTGATGAGTAGAAGTTGCAGGAGAGTGTGCAGAAATCCCCCAGGGGTGTGACAGCGCTGCCCCCAGCTCGTCCTGCGAAGCGGCAGTGCTGCGTGGGGAGGGAAGCGAGCACTTCTGTGGGGTCCCACGAAGGTCCTCACCCTGCCCTGATCCTTCAGAGCTGAAGGATCTTGGGTCCAGACAAGTGAAAGTTTTGTAGGTAGAAAGCCTCAAAATACTCTGCCTGTGGGAATGCAGGTGTTCAGCAACCTGCCCCCAGCAACACACAAGCACGCAGGGCATCAAGGGTGGTGGAAGTGTTGACCTTAGCTCGGTGACCAAAGCTTTCCAAATTTCCACTTGCAACAGTTGCCAATGACCTGAGTAGTTATGAAATGTTGAGACTTTGGCTGCTCATGTTTATTTTTGAAATCCATTTGTGCATTGAATTTAAATTAGTTGTTAAACAGTAAAGGAGAAACATGAGCTTTAGAAGTTCAAAGGCAATGGTGTGCTGGTTGGGCATTACTCCAGCATTGGAGTTCTGCCAGGCTTTCATGATCCAGAGAACAAACTGCATTTGTAAGCTTGTGTTTGTTCTTTCCTTACTCACTGCAGCATGACATTGAGCTAAGGCTGAGAATTCACCTTTCTACTTTGACACCTTTGTGAAAAATACAGCAACTTTTCGATAAGCCTTTTAGTCTGAGTGCAGAAAAGTTGTTTGTTCAGGTCCCACTAAACCCCTTAGATATGGATCATTGAAAACTATCTGCTTCTCTTTTGTGTGTCTCTTCTGGGTTTTGACTAATGTTTCTTCTGTAATTCTAATTCCCAATTAAAAACTTTACTGTTTTCTATCAAAATGCAGGTCCAGTATTAATAACTTTTTCAGATTTCAGACATTCATTTCAAATTGCCCTTTTTTGCAACAGAGGTGTTGAACAGGCTGCCTCACATTGCTGATTTGTGGTATCTATACTGGGGAGACTTGTCATGATATGATTTATCAGACAGATATCCAGATTTCTTAGCATTATGGCTGAAAAAAGATCCTAACTTTCTGTCTGCTTGTGATTTAATTTTTCTATTTAATTTTATAGGGAACCAGAGCAAAAGCATCTGTTTCCCTTTGCAACAAACACTTGTGATCATGAAAAACTTCAGAAGTGCAGAGACATACATGCCAGTAGTGGTGCCTGAAATGTTTTCCAGTTATGTGTGACCAGGCACAAAAGTGGAAGCTGCCCTTGGTACTGGTGGTGTCCATTCTTACTGAATATAATAGTGGCATCCATTAGCATGTCTGGTGTTGGCAGTAATAGCTGACAAAAAAAGGGCATGACACCCTGCAGTCTAGTCCTGTTGAACAGTTTTAGTAGCACTGCTAAGAGTAGCTGGGGTGTAGTTGCTGAGAATACATTTAGGCTCATGAATACCATGTTACTATCATTAGGAGACATAAAGTCTTTTGTTTAAATGTATGGTTAAGTCACTGGGGAAAAGAGTGCCAAAAAGAAGTTCAGTAAGTCTGGTCTTGCACTGTGACACCCTCTCAGAGAATTTTACTTAAAAGACTTCAAGTTTAATTCTAATTTCCACTTTTTTTTTTTTTTTGTTGTTACACATTCCAGTCTTTGTATTTTAATTTTTTTCAGTCATTGGATTCAATCCTGTGATCCACATGACTCCTGAATGCTTCTCACCCTGCCTTTCACCCCACTGGGGGTTCAGCACTACCACCAAGGATGTGCCAACGAGGATACTGTTGGCTGTCCTGCCAGAAACCACATTAATTCCTGCTAACATAGCTTTATGTTGTATGTTCCAGGTGGCCAACCCACCAGAGGAAATAGTTTTGTTTAACGAAGGTGGAGAGGCTTTGCCCTTGTGTAATATCAGATACAGAGAAAAAAACATGTGTTGAATGTTATCTATGTATGAAAAAAGGGGGTATAGAAGGGGGAAATAAAATGGAAGAGGGGGGTGTAGAGAAAAGATTAACTGACAATCATAGTCTGAGAAAGAGCTTGTTTGCTGAATGTGTGTCTGAAAATACTTGGAAAGTGGCCTGGGGCCCCAAGCTTGTGACAACAGCTGGAATATTCCCAGATTTGTATCAATAGCTGATTAAATGAGAAGGGGAACTGTTTTGCTGCCTAAAATGAGGTTTGGAATAACTTATATTCATTTTACTTATTCTTAAATTTCATCATTACACATTGGGATTCAGGAGTACATCTTTCAAAGTCTTAGTGCTCTTAATTTCAGGGGATATGCAGAATCTGTATCCTCTGCCTCCTGCATGGGAGCTGCCACCCAGTCTGTGTGCACTTGGAAGCGACGTTGGCTGTGCCTTAACGCTGCTGCAAGCAGGTCCTTCAGAAGGTGATATTTTGCTCAGCTATCATCCCTTCTCCATTGATACTTGTTATTGAGATTCTGCCTCATTGGCCTCTGTGATTGTTTCCATTAGAATGGTGTGGCAAAAACCCAGTGAATCCAACTTTAAACCCCGACTCTCCTGCAAACATCTTACATATGTGTACCTTGTATTCCAGTTCCATGTCCTCATGTTCCACCCACATACATTACTGGTACCTGCTACTACCCAGAATTTCAAGGAATGGTGGGTAGGTCTGCCTGAGTTCCATCTTAGATCTGTGTGGTGGGCCACAGGCACAGGCTGGAGATTCTCAGTTTGATCTTTATGGTTCAGTCCTCTGACCTAGCTGATTGTTTGGTGAGGGAGAGATCCTGTCACACCTGTACCTCAGGTGTCTCCTGTTACAACTCTTTTTCTAATACCTTCAGACCTTCGTGCTGCAGTTCTGTCTGTATTTTCCCCACAGCAGTGTCCCAGCCACTACAGGCAGCTTCAGTTGACTCGGGCAGTGTGTATCTTGTGACAGAGCTCACATGCTCTCATTGTAGGGTGTTCTGTCTCTCCATGCCAATAGAATTAGTTGTCCCATCACCACAGTCAATGGAACCTTGCTTCTGATTCACAAGACAAGTCTGAGTTAACTAAGACAACGCTGGCAGTGTTTCTGGAACAAAGATATTAATCAAGTTGACTAGACCTTGGGCCTTTTGTAAGGTCTTTTTTTCAGGAAAAGGGGGTCTCCCCTCACTGCCACTGGAGTTCCCAGCAGCCATAGGCACTGAAGCTCACCTTGGAGCTTCTCTGGGCAGTTCAGTACCATTGCCTACATTCAAAGAGGTTTTGCCCTATTCCAGATCTAATGGTAGATTAGTAGTAACAAACTTCATACAGTACCTCATAAAAAAGGTGGGTGGGAAGGACACTTTGCAAAGCCCAGTTGTAGATGCATGTATAGGAACTGATTAACACATAATTATTAGAAAATATGAACTTGTATCGTGGCCCTCTTCTGTAGGGACCTCTCTGCATCACAGATTTTTTGGCAACAAAATCATCTCATGTTTTGTGGTTTATAATATTTTGTGTCTGTAATTCCTTTTTTTTATTGCTACAGAATACAAAATGGCGGATTTTTCTTCAAACAGTCTAATGATACATTGTCTCTTTTTGGAGTGATAACAGTAAATTTAAGATCAAGGAACCTGTATAAAGAGCTCAGAGTGTTCCTTGCATCTCCATGGTATCTTTTCTTCCCTGATTTTCACTTGCATTGTAATTCCAGTTTGCTTAATTTTGTTAGTCTTCTCTGAAACTCAAAAACTCACTCGTCTCAAGCAAGACCAGAAGTTACCTAACGTGTATAATTTTGTAGCAGTTGCAATTTTTTGCCAATTTATTACTTTTTCCAGAAAACTGACATGCTTATTAAACAGCAGAGATCTCAGTATAGAGGCAGCCTCCTAATCCCCCTTCCACTGTCACAGAATGCTGATTATAAAGGGAAAGTATACCTGCTTACAAGGACATTGCCATAATTGAGATAAAGATCTCTTGATTTGATTTCTGCCAGGCAGAGAACAAATTTCTCTTGCACATTCAGAGCTTGGAGCACACCATTCTTGGGAATTTAAAAGAAGACAAGATATCTACATCACAGCAAACCGAAAGGCTTGGCAATCCTGCACTGCCAGTTCTGTAAAAGTGAAATGTTACTGGAAGTCTCTGCAAACATTATTCTTGTAAACAGATCTTTATCTGTAGTGACTGAATGTCCTTGGGAAGATTTACGACATCTGCCAGTCCCTGAGAGACTCCACCTGGGAATCAAACAGTGTTGGGTCAGCTGGCCAGAGAAATGGGCTCGGATCAGGGAATCTGTTTGGTGGGCACCACAGCTAGTTGGTCTTTGGAGGAATCCCAGAGGTCAAGGGGAGGTTGTGGTTGTTCATTGCCATTGAGGCTTTGCTTGGTTGTTCTGGCTTCTGCTTCCAAACGACTTGCTTAAAGTTTGAGCCCATCCTCTTCCCACACAGTTCCTCTATCCTTGACTCTACTTCATTGCATGGATTCCCTTTCCCTTTAAAAGGTCCTACTTTAGCTCTTTGGTTCTTCTCTTCCTAGCTTAGTCCCAAGCACAGTGTTCCCCTGCAAAGTTCTCTCATCATGCTGGCAGGAAAATGTGGACCAGAGGGTTGTGCAGATTATGCAAGATTTGAAGGTTCTGGAAGGTGCCACAAGAGTTGTTCATGGAGAGGAGGTGTGCTCACCTGTATATACTGATGCATGGTGATACACTAGAGGTGTTAGTGACAAATAAAAGACAAAAGGCAGAGGTGCTACACTTGGTTGAGATGATGCAGCGAGTGCATCATTGTGGGTGATTCTGTAGAATATGCTTGGGCAGCACAGGAGAGACTGAGCTTGCTGCTGTGCTGTGCCAGGGAACCAACAGCACTGTTCTGGGTTCTGTGTCAGTGTTTCACATGTTGAATAAGCTCTCTGAGGAAAACAGGTAACTTGAAATCTCACATGCCTAAAAGCTCCCATTCCAGTAAGTTTTTCAGTTTGCACATCCTGGTTCAGGAGTTGGAAAATACTCTTTGAGGTCAACAACCGTGCTTACCAAAACTTGATGGCTACTTCCTGTTGGCAGAAGCTCTTCTTTGGAGCAATGCCAGAGTTTGAAAGGAAAAACCTTTTCTTATTTCTTAGTCATTCCCTTAGGCTTTGAAATTCCTTTAGAAATTCAGAGCCCCTGAGAGTCCTGGCAACTTTCTTGTTTTGTAATTTTGAAGTTATCTCCTTATAGTCTTCCATTTGGGTGCCCTTTGTACACAGAAGCCTGCCTCCAGCTGTCACGAGACCCTGAGTGAAAAGAGGAAATTATCAGGAAATGTCAAGTTAGGAATCGGTTCTGTCTCAGCATAGGCTCAGCAGGACCCAAAACGTGGGGGATATTATCAGAATCATCCATCTCCTAACTCGTACATTTTGACTTCCTGACTGCTCAGAGGGCACAGGGTAGCAGCTGGTGTTAGAGAGGGATGAGTCTATCATGCTTTCTTTCTGGTAGCCTCACTGATTTGCTCTGTTAGCACTGACTTTAATGATAACACTTACGTAAATGGACAGGGACAGTTAAAGCCCTTTCTATACTAATTAAATAGATCACATGGTAGTACTTAAATGTGGAAAATGAATGTTTTAAGGTGATTAATTAAAAGTGCCAGTCAGATCTTGTAACTTAGGTGAGTCTTTAGTGTAATAGATAACCCAAGATGAAATAGAGTAAGTAGCTGCTTAACTTATCTTGGCATGAATGAATCCATTGTTAATATACTAATTCCTTCATTTTAGCCAGTCACCTGTTAAGAATGTTTTTTGCTTTTGGTAGTCAGAAGTGGTGAAATCTATTTGTTGGCTTTAACATAGGGTTCTTCATATTGTGATTAGTATCAGTGGCTGATACAGAGTACACCTTAACCACGAGCTTCAAATTTATTCTGTGGTATTTATATATTATTCACTTTATGTAGTGTATCGCTTGAAGTAGGGCTTCATGAACAGCAGCTTGTACCACGTACTTACTCCAGAAACACTAATAACAATGTTGAATTGAATACAGAAGTGTCAATATTTAGATTGTATGTAAATATGTTTCTGTGAAATATGCAGGGTGTGTTATATTTACATGTTATTTACATTGGATGTTTCAATATTGTGAGAGAGGAAACTGCTAAGCACTGACATAATGAACACATAAAATGAACAGTAATCTAGCATTTAGTGTGATTGTAACTGGAAGTGATGGAGATAATACAGAGTAATCTCAGGGGCACAAGGGGCACAAGAGCACAAAGACATTTGTATGGATGCATTTGAGGGCACTTCTTGCAGAATGGATGCTGAGAAACTTGAAAAATATGGCTCCAGATTTTTCCAAATCCATTCTGTTCCTATCAGCCCTTGCAGAGATTTTAGATGATCAAACAGCATATAGCAATAATTTCTTAAGCTTATTTCATAGTATTCTTTTTCCTTCTTTTGGTAACATGATCTGCTGTGCCTGCCTGCCTGGTGAGGACCCTGAAGGAAAACATCAGTCATGGCTGTACTGTCTTGCAACTCTTGTGTGAACTTGTACTGTATATTGAGCAATAGTCTGCAAAAAGAAAAGGCTGCATTTATCTAAATAAAGGTATTTTTAGTACAATTTACATATTTCAGTTTTACAGGCCTGATTCATTATTATTTTTTCCCTTCAGTAGACAATAACACATACAGAGAGAGTGAAGGGTTCCCAACTCAGCATGTTTCCCCTTCTTACAGATTTAAAAGACTACATGTTGTTTAAGACATTATAAACCTTAACTTTTCAAACATTAACAGGGAATTTTGTTCACAAATAATTTTTATAATTAAAATCGTCATGGCTAGTCAGTTGTTTAATTTGGATTGCTTTGATGCTGATTGACTTGGATTAATTGTGTTTCCAGAATTTAAATAGCAAGAGGCAAAGACACAGTTGCGTGGCATATTTTTCTTAACATAAGACTGACTTATGTCTTCACTGACTTTTCCTTTTGGTCTTTAATTAAGATGACACGTTACAACAGTTTGTTACTTTAATTTAGAATAATTGATGACAATAATGAAAGCATCGTTTTCATAAATACATAAACATTTTGTCCATTACAGTGGGCTTTCTGTACCAAGATGCAATAGTAAAGTTCGCCTGCATGAAGACACGAGGCTCTGGAGACACC